GTTTACAAAACAACATAAAAAGTGTGAACTTTAGTGGTTGACCAACGTTTCTAATGCAAAATCCTACGCTAAATTCAATGCCGTGGTCAGAAAAAATTAAAGTAGAGCCATTTTTGAGATATACAAAAATTTTGATTATTTGAATTTTGGACAAAAGTACGATTACTAAAATGTCAATATCTTTGGAACTAGTGCACCAATTTTAAATCTTTTTTTATGAAAGTGAAGCTAAATAAATTTGCTATCGTTCACTAGAATATTATGTCTTAATTTAAAATTTAATTTTGAAGTCATTTAAAAATTTATAGCATTTTTTTTAATTTTTCCTGCGAATTTTCCATAAAAATCTTGTTTTAATCAACATTTTTAATGGGATTAAAAGATTCAAAAAATCATTCCATAATTTATTCTTAAAGTCCATTAAAAACTGGAGAAAATGAGCCTTTAATGGATGAAATCGGTTGGAAATTGTCGAAGTTATGAAATTTTTTGTAAAATCATGGAAATGGAATGTTTTAAGATTGGCCGTTGTCCCGCTCCTAGGTTCATGCACCACTTCCAGTCAGCCTTTCTGCGGACGTGTACGCATACGGTGTATTTCACTAACACTACCAGCTGTCACGCAAAATTAAATGGGATATTTTCAACAATATAATTTACGCTAGTGTTTGTGAGACCGCTCGGCGAGAACCTAACGCAACCAACTCAATTTGACAGCTTTCTTTCTTTAACATTGCTTAACGATGTAGGGGAGAATGGTATACAACGCACCCCCTGGGCAGAACGCACCAACTGACTTTCATTTGTGTTTTTCATGGCTTTTACGTAACTTTTTTGTTGTCTTATCAAGCAGCCCTTCTAGCATAGCATCTGAACTCAAAATCCTGCATGATAAATCCTTGAATTGGATTAAAAATTCCAAAAAAAAACTCAAAATAAAATGAAAAAGTGCGTCTTATCCCGGGAGTGCGTTATGTACTGTCCTCCCCTATACGACAAAACGTGAATTCAAGTGTAAAAATGATCCTCAAAAGTTTTGTTACGCGTGTGGCAACTATATATTTACAAAATCGGTCAATTTCACTGCTTCGTTGCAAACTGCATACAGGCTTTATTTTAAAATTGATCCTGGAGACTTTGACGAACCGTGGATTCCAAAAGTATTATGTAGTTCGTGCAAAACGTGCTTGGCTAGGTGGATGTCAGGCGCAAGGTAAATTGATTTTTTGAATAACTTTCATATAAACAATTTATGTACAGCATGGTAGTGCTTTGTTCTTTCCTGATCGACATTATCTTACTTCATCTATTTTTGATAAGTGTTAATGTCTTACTTACTAACTCACTTATTTGTTATCTGTCATTGGATTGTTATTTCTGCTTGACAAAAGTTAAGCAACAAGGACGTCACAAAACAGTTGAGTATCCACAAGTGGCTTCTATGAAAAAACCTGTTCCACATTCATGTTCGGTCCCGTATCCTGTTTATCCAATGCGGAAACGAGCGCCCTCTGTTGAATCGACCGTTACAAAAAGTGAGGAGGAATTCAAGGAGGAATGCGAGGAAGACTTCGAGGTGGAATTGGAAAGAAACCCAAAACTGTTTACACAATCCGAATTTAATGATTTGATGCGAGATCTCGACTTATCGAAGGAGAAATCCGAATTGCTGGCATCACGCTTGAAAGAACACAACATGCTGAGCAAGGAGGTCAAAATTTCTTGTCACAGGAATCGTCAAAAGAAATTTGACAAATATTATTCTACAAAGGACAAGGCATGTTTTTGCCATGACGTAAACGGCTTGTTTGAAGAGTTTGGTGAGCCGTATGATCCAGCTGAATGGCGTTTATTCATCGATAGCAGCAAGTTGAGCTTGAAAGCCGTTTTACTGCATCAAGGGAATGAGAATCCTTCTATTCCATTAGCTCATGCCGTTAATATGAAGGAAACGTATGAATCAATGGCTCTATTGCTCAATTTGATAAATTACAATCAACACAATTGGAAAATTTGTTCCGATCTTAAAGTGGTTGCCATGTTGACTGGATTGCAACAGGGATACACAAAATATATGTGTTTTTTGTGTAAATGGGACAGTCGAGCTCGTAAGGAACACTACGTCCGAAAAGATTGGCCAAAACGGGATAATTTCACAATTGGTAAAGACAACGTTAAAAATGATCCTCTTGTGGTAAAAGAACGCATAATACTTCCACCACTACATATAAAACTTGGGCTATTCAAAAATTTCGTCAAAGCGTTGCAAAAAGAAGGGCCGGCATTCCAGTACTTGAAATCAGTATTTCCAAATTTATCTGACGCAAAGATAAAGGAAGGTGCCCACAGATCAAAAAACTGCTCACTGATTCCGCATTCAATACAGTTTTGACACCAGATGAGGAAGAAGCGTGGAAATCGTTCCAGCGTGTTGTCACAACCTTTTAAGGAAATTTCAGAAGCCCAGATTATGAGGAAGCCGTCGATGAATTGCTCAAAAATTATGAGAAAATAGGTATAAATCAAAAATATTGTGTTTGTTACATATAATTAATTTCAAATCCTTTTATTTCACTGAACACAGGTGTGAATATGTCTTTATTTATTTATTTATTTCGTCAACCAACGTAGACTAGTACATATTAGAATACAGTTTTGTTTTCTTAAATTTATTTATTTATTTCGTCAACTTTGGACAAAAGGTTAAAAGTATAATTTTTCCTTTAATAAAAATTAAGCAGTGTCAGCTTTCCTATTTTTTATGAGTTATAATGCCTTATGGAGTAAAAATATTGTTTTAGTTTATGCCGAGACATTGTAAAGTCAATGGTTTCGCAGTATTGATTGTAAGAGGCCATCATGCGGTTTAATGGCCCATATTTTGCATAATTTGTACGATGATGTTTTATGGCAAATAAATTTCGATTTCGGAGTTGCCGAGTAGGTGCATGGAAATTTAATTTTGATAAAAGTTCTGTGGAGTCAATGCGTAGCGAAACGATATCGTTTACAAATGAAATCATTGCATATTCACGACGCTCTTTTAAAATTTCAAGATACATTTCCTACATTCTCACATGGATTTTTTCCCGGAAAATCTTGGTGACGAGAGTAATGAGCACGGCGAACGTTTTCACCAACAAATGAAGATGATGGAACGTCGTTACCAAGGGTTTTGGGATGAAGCAATGATGGGTGACTATTGTTGGTTTCTGATTCGAGAAACAAGTTCAAAACATCGAAGACAAAGTCATTCGATTCTCAATCATTTTTAATAAAACCTAAATAAATTTCTTTTGTATCAACTCGGTTTTAAATCCTGATATGCCTTAATCAAATTGATATGTAGAGAAAAGAATCTCCCATGAAAACTTTACATGCGATTTGGATGCTTACAACGACACCTAGAAAACGAACTCTAAAGCTGTTGTATTTCAGCAACATTTTTAAGTGTTTTACAAAAATGCTCATAACTTCGACAATTTCCAACCGATTTCATCCATTAAAGGCTCATTTTCTCCGGTTTTGAATGGACTTTAAGAATAAATTATGGAATGATTTTTTGAATCTTTTTATCCCATTAAAAATGTTGATTAAAACAAGATTTTTATGGAAAATTCGCAGGAAAAATAAAAAAAAATGCTGTAAATTTTTAAATGACTTCAAAATTAAATTTTAAATTAAAACATAATATAGCACATTTATTTAGCTTCATTTTCATAAAAAAAGATTTAAAATTGGTGCACTAGTTTCAAAGATATTGACATTTTAGTAATCGTACTTTTGTCCAAAATTCAAAAAATCAAAATTTTTGTATATCTCAAAAATGGCTCTACTTTAATTTTTTCTGACCACGGCATTGAATTCAGCGTAGGATTTTGCATTGGAAATGATCATCACCTTACCGAGTTCAAAAATGCTGTAAACTAGTGTAATGAAACAATAACTGTATGGCACTCAATGAAAAAGGTGCGCCTTTCATTGGAAAGCAAAAAAAATACCAAAGCGTTCCAAACAAATAAACGAACCATCTTCTGCTGCGTGACTCACTCAATTGCATCAACCGATGCACTACTGTTTAGGTTAAGGTTTAACGTATCTATTAAGAATAATAAGCGGAGCGTCTTCGGATTGGTAGGTGATTCTTATTGCGATTGCGCGTACTACGACGTGTTGAGAGAGTTCGAACCTCCGCCGCCTGCATATCTCAGCTGGTTCTAGCGTGCCGTTTCATAATTTCCAATAAACCAGTTTCCCTTTTTCGAATTACAGCTAATTGCACTAGACCCATACCATGAAGTTCTTCACCGCAACTTTTAAACCACATTTATGATTTTCTATGTTGTTATTACTTTAAATTGAAGTTTGCTTTCGGCATTGCTGTCAAAACATAGTTGGAGACGCTTAGCGTCAAATATCAGACATAAAGTGGTCATTTTATACGATAGATGAGGAGATGACAGATTATCCCCTTTACCAAACTTACACGGTATTTTACTTCTAGTAGCATTTAGTAGTGATAATATTCATAACTATTGATTGGAAAACAAAGTTAATCATGTTTACATTCTATTAGTGCACATAAAATTGCCATCTTAAGAAGTTTATCGAAAGTTTAAGACAAATAGTAATCACAGGACGAAAATCTGCGTGTCACTTTTCGCGGAATGGGTCACTAGATAATATTTAAATTTCACTTTGACTGATAAAAGCAAGTATCCTGAGAGCCACGTCTTTTTTTCTATCACAGAAAACACGCATACTACGATACTTGGTTGAAAGACTGGGAGATTTTACCTACGTTAGTATGGGACTGCCATCCGTTTTTAGAATCTTGCTGTTTATCATTGCCTACTAGTATACATCCACTCGAGAAAGGAAAGACCACTGCTCATTCATGCTCTCTTTTCCCTCTCTCGCACTGCCTAAGATGATCCCAAACAAGAGTATAAATGAAGGCCAAGACTCTCGCCAGTGCCAGTCAGTCGGCGAGAGCATTACATTCGACGAGGTTGTGCCACACTGCGACACGATCGATAAGCGAATCAACGTGTTTATTAGATTTGAAATGAAACCAAACGGTGTAAACTAACGCAACGACACAATGGCACTTGAACGCTTTGCTGATGTCTTCCCCAGCCAGGTGAATGGAATTTGATTTATTTATTTTTGCTATTTTTATATCTGATTGATTTGCACAGGCAATCGCAGCATGTTACGTATATTTACCGCAACACTTGTTCTTGTGGGTATTACTACTGTCTGAGATCCGATACTACAAGCGGCATCCGTCAAACAAAAGACGTAAAAGTGCTTCAGAGTTGATGATTTTATCACTGAAAAGTATTCTGAACACTCTGCTGATAGTGCTGGCTGTTTCAAATTTCGGACGTCCAGTGACACCCTTTGTAGTGCGAATCTTCGAAGCACTATCTTATGTAGGTATATAAACACAAATTATCTCCGTTATCATCACGCTCGCCGGTAATTTACGATATCTCATTCTTACCACGCCGTTCCGTTTTCATCTTCGTAGTTTATCACGCTGGCATTACTACATCTCGGCGAGCAATACAATGTACGCGATCAGACGTTCCTGTTGTCATTTTGGACGTTGGATCTGTTGGTCAACTGTATACGTATTGTCGAACAGCTGACGCTCGGAAGCATGCTCTACTTGCTTGCGCTTGCGCTCCTGATTGCGTACTCGAGTATGACTAGCAGGGAGGAAAGTGTCAACAGAGTTGAACCGAATTTCATCCGATCTATGTGCTTCAGCTGGTTCAGCGAGGTAAGCCGGAATGTTCATCGATTGCATTTGGACGATCTTGGAGATCTGGATGCTGATTTGAGAGGAGAATACTTGATCAAGCACTTTACGGAAAAGATGACGACGAAAGGTCAGTACGAATCGCTTGCAACGATTGAAACGGAAATGCATCCAGAGATTAAGATGTGGAGTTTGCTGCGGCCATTCATTCGGGATTTGATGTATAGTGGCATAAATCGATTTGCCCTGACGGTGCTTTTCTTCATCTGCCCATTTCTACTCAGGTAATTATTTTCAACACAAAGGAGAAGGTGGATACGATAGAAACATGCAGAAGACTCAACTGCTGCGTTTTTCAATCTATTATTTATTATTTACGTGAAAACGGATTATTTTAGACATACAGTGTAGTGTACATGATTAGCTCGTTCTTTTAGTGGACCCTACATGATTGCTTTTATTGGCAATAATCGTATTGTCAATACATTCTATATTGAAGTCAATATATCAGTATTGACAATATTTCTACATTCACATCATCAATATTATGTTCAATAATTCCCCTTCGCGTCAATATATTGATACGTGTGGGGTTAGCTTTTGAACATAACTTCAAGATGATTAATCCACCTAGCAGGGAAATGGAATTTTAGTTTTTGAAAAACGAGATAGCAAGATAGTGTCTTTGGCAAAGTTTTGTATAATATTAAAATAAGCATGGAAGCAGTGGAAGACATCAACTCTCTATCTTTTACAGTTTTTGTCATATATATGGCTTTTGACTTCTATAAGTCAATGATTCACCAAGAGCTTTTCTAGTTTTAATTTCCCGTCATAAAAGAGAGAGCTCCGAGTAGTCTGTTATCCTAGCCCCTTTATTCATCACATTGACCAGAACGTTTCTCGTAGCGTGTTAATGCCTTCGATCCCAGGTTGTAGATAAACCGCTTCACGCATGCCAACTGTCGGCAGGCTGCGCCGAAGCTCGATCGACTATTGAGAATTTGCTTCTCGATTTCGTACGTCGTTACTGAAACGCTAACAGAAATGTTTAGGGATTGGAATCGCTTACGTACCTCTAGTGTAGCTTCATCTTCTGACATGACACTTCGTTTCCAGGTTGCGGAATCTTCCGCCAGCCACTTCGGTCCTGTCCACCACAGAGGATGATCGACTAGGTCTGTAGGAGATATCCCACGGGAAGCACAATCCGCCGGATTTTCAGTCGATGCAACATAATCCCAATGCTTACGTGGAAGAATCTAAAGTATCGAAGATGTTCTATTAGCCACGTAAGTGTTCCATTTACGCGGATGTCCTGACAGCCATTGCAGGACTATGGTCGAATCCGTCCAAGCGAACCGGTCTACCTTGAAGCGTTTAAGAGGTTCAGCAACTTGTTTCAGCAGCTTTGCAAGTTATTCAGCTGCGTTGAGCTCGAGACATGGTAGAGACACCTGACGTACAGGAGCAACCTTGGTTTTCGCTGCAAGTAGACTAACGTGAACCTCACCGTTGCGATCAACGGACCTGAGATACACGACCGCTGAGTACGCCTCCTCAGAAGCGTCAGAAAAGCTATGTAATTCGATGTGGTTGTCGTAATTCGTTGCCTATCTTGGAATCTTGATATTCTCCACGGTTTGCCTTAAAATCGACCCACATTTCTTCAACGACAGGAGGTAGTGGATCGTGCCAGTTTAGGTCGTACTACCAGCAATGTTGAAATAGAATTTTAGCTCGAACGATGACCGGCGCAAACCAACCGAATGGATCGAACAGCCTGGCGGAATCCGACAATAGCTGGTGCTTCGTATTGGGACCATCAATCTGCAGATTTACCTTGAGTGTGAAGATGTCCGGAATCCAATGAATTCCCAGGGCTTTCACCGAATTGCGTTCATCCGGAAACTGTATCTGTACTGCGGTAATGCTGACTTCAGGTAGCGACTTCAGAACCGCCGCCGAATTGGAACTCCATTTCCGTAATGTAAATCCAGCACTCTCTATGATTTCGTTGATCTCCTTGGTCAAACGAATGGCTTCTTCTTCGGATTTTGCTCCCGATGTAAGATCGTCGACGTATGTATTCTTCATGATCCGTTCAGCTGCTTCAGGATACTTCCCTTTGTATTCTTCCGCTGTCGTCTTGAGCGCCGCCATGGCCAGAAAAACAGAGTTCTTGAGTCCATATGTCACCGTGCGAAGCCGGAAGTGCTGTATCGGCTTGTCCGGCGAGCTTCTCCATACCACACGTAGGTAGTCTCGATCGTCATGGTGCGTAAGTACTTGACGGTACATTTTTACTGCGTCCGCCGTAAATACCACCTCGAAGAACCTGAACTCCATCATGATATCGAATATCTCAGTGTTAATGTTCGGGGCGTCCAGTAACAAATCATTCAGTGAGACTCCAGAAGTCGTGACACATGATGCATCGAACACAACTCGGAGTTTGGTCGTGGTGCTATCTTCCTTTACAACCCCATGATGCGGCAAATAATATGACTTCGTGCAATTAACCAGAATCTCTGTCTCCGGAATCAGCTCCATATGGCCCAAATCCTGATACTCTTGCATGCATGCAGCGTATCTCTCCTTGAAGCTGCTGTTGATCTCGAACTTCCATTCCATTGCGCGTTGCCTACGGACTGCTGCGGTCAGCGAATCTCCAAGTTGCTGCTTTGAATCGTTCATTGGCAATCGAACGATAGAGCGTCCATCTTTCGAGCGAGTGTGCGTCGAGTTGAAATGATCAACGACCCTTTGCTCCTCTTCTGTCCATTGCTTAACTTGACGAAGCTCCTGATCTTCCCAGAACAATCGCAGGGTGCGATCGATGTCGAAATCTTGGTGAAGATTGATTTCCGAGAGATGTGTGTGCATACACCATTGCTTCGAGATTCTTCCTGCAACCATCCACCCGAAGATAGAACGTTGTGCTACAGGAATACCGTTTGGATACTTGACCTGGCCGGATTGCAGTACGGACAGGAAGACATCCGATCCCAGTATGACCTCAACCGAGATAGGTTGATTGAAGTGGAGATCCGCCTGTTGCAGACCCTTCAAGTATGGCATGCTTACCACGTCGAAACGCTGGCACGGCAGGGTTGACGTGAGCCTTCTTGATACGCCTCAACCCAAGGCGGTTGGCACACGCTGTCGTGATGAGAGATGCCTGGGAACCACAACCGATTAGCATTCTTACGTCGTGTAGCTTCCCATCACCTCCTCGAAGTTTTGCCATCACCGTTGGTAGCAGTGCGAATGCAAACGGTCCGTGGTTTTCGACCACCGTCTGCGGCTACGTTGGTAGAGAACGATGCGACCTCCAATTCTTCCTTGACCATCTTCCTGCTTTTCATTCGGTTTCTTGACTTCCCGCTGGCATAGCATTGTATGGTGCCGTTGGTTGCACTGTGAAGTGCGACGTACCGACTTCGACTGACACCGCTCCGCTGTGTGGGATGGACGCAGGCAATTAAAGCACAGTTTTGACTTAAGTGCCAATTCCCTACGCGCCACCACATCCATGGCCTTGAATTGTTCGCAGTGGTAAGTTGGGTGATCCATGCTGCACTTCGCACACGACACATGTGCAGCACCAGCATGAAAGGCTTGAAACTTCATGTCGGCTCCAGTTGCCTTCGAAATCTCCTTCTTCGCAGGTTCTCCCAGCTTCCTATAAAACGCCGAACAAGTTTCCAGAGCATCGCAGCGTTTTTACAGGAACTCGATGAAATCTGCGAACTTCGGATTTTCTTCGAAGTTCGCGTCTCTCGGTCCACCTTCTCAGCGCGTGAGCGCGTCTCTCGGTCCACCTTCTCAAGCAGCAGATGGATGAGCCAAGGATGCCGTGTTTCGTACTCGTTTCCAAGAGCTTTTAGCTGTCGCCACCAGTTTCTTCAATCCGCTTGCGTTGGCTGATCAACGAACTCACGAACGAGGGCAAACACCATGTATTTTTTTTTTCTTATCGAAGTGCGTCACGAGTGTTTCCCACGCTTCGTTGTAGTTTGCGTCGCTGATTGGGAAGGAATTCACCATCCGCTTTGCTTCACCGTCCAAATAGGAAAACAAATACTGCATCTTGACGGAAGCTTTCAGATCCTGCCTGTTGTGGATTATGCTGACAAACAAATCCTTAAACGAATTCCACGCCGTTCGCTCTCCTCGGAAAACGGGAATGTTTAGTTGCGGTAGTTTCACATTCACTTGGGGTTCCTGATTCCACACCTGACCGCCCGCTGCCGGCTGCTGCGGTGGCCTGCTGCGTTTCCAAAAGTGCCTTGATTGCATCCCGCAGATCACTAGGCGACTTATTCCTTTCACTGTGTTGGGACATCTGGTCTTCATTTTCCCGCAGGTAACCCGTGTACAGGTCTTTTACTTGAAAATAGGCCTCATCAAATCGGAGCCGGTGGTTGAACACCGATGCGACATCCTCCAGATTCGCAATGTTCTCCTCAATCATCGTTTGAACGGCTTCGAAATTTTCTGCAAGTTCGGTGAGCTTCTCCCGACGTTCATGCACTTCCCCGTACGATAGGTTCTGGGTGTGAAGCGATTGCGCGACGGACAGCTCCCACTTTATTTTCGCGAACATAACCTCTCGCTTCGACAAAAACTTTTGCATATCCGGCGGATCCATCCTCCGGTTCGAAGGACCAAAAAACTATGTACGAACCGAAACGAAAGGTCGAGACGAACCTGGACTAAAAATTGAAACCCGAGAACACGTTTTTCGGGACGGCGGAATTTTCTATCGGTTGCAACAAATAAAATGTGCAGACAAACTTGTCTTAACGTGTTTATATTTCGACTGTTCGAATACAAGTGTTTTGTTTGTTTTCTCTTCGCTTTGCGCTGGCAGATTTTTGGCGCCAGCAAGGTAAGGTAGTATTGTAGGTACGCTGATTGCTCGGGAGGTAGGGATGTCGTCATAAAATCCTCAAACAACTATCTATATGCAATTTTCACTATCAACTCAATACTTTCATCTACTCCATCTATCGTATAAAAATTACCACTACAGTTTGTTATTTGAAATTAGCATCTTCAACTATGTAAATCGTTGACTTCTCGCAGAAGTAATACTAAACATATAGTCAAAGTAATTCAATTGCAGTAATATACAATAATTTAATGTACATTAATCCAAATAATTTATGTTGATATTATAATTCTATTAAAACATAAACAAATAACATGAAATCAATACTTGACGAAAATAATTACTATAGTTCTAAGAACACTCATAATTCTAATTCTCAAAAACTAAGAGCTGTTTCAAAGATTCGGGATGCAGCACCTTGCACTTGACGGCCTCGTTGTTTGACGCTATTGTTTCTTATTGATCCATTTTAATTCCTTAGTCAGCCCCAATTCAATAACCATTAACAAATTTTCCCTCCCTTCCAGACAAATTCTTCGCAGCGATCTCCAACCAAACACAACTGACAGCCATTTCTACGTGATTAGTATCTTCATTGTCTCGTTGGTTATCGCCGCCTTGAATGGACAGTATCTGTACGACACCCAGAAGATCGGCCTTAAAATCAAATCCATTCTGATGATCTTAATCTACCACAAGTCGTTGAAACTGAAGACCCCAAGTGGCACAGACATCACCCTTCTGACGCTCGATTCATCCAGATTCGTTGATTTATTGCCAAACTTGCATCTGATCTGGTCGGGTCCGTTAATCATCGTTATCTCCATCGTTGGATTGTTAACCATCTTGGGAAGATCAGCTTGGATCGGAGTCGCGGTGATGACCGCTACCATCTATCTTACCAAATTGATCACCAACAAGTTGCAACTTCTCCAAAAAGAGCTCATGAATCGCAAAGATTCTCGGATCTCCAGCACCAACGAAACAGTTGGAATGATGAAGCAAATCAAATTTTTCTGCTGGGAAGACTTCTTTCAAAGTCGAATACTCCAATATCGACAAAACGAGCTCCAGATCCTGAAAAAAATCATCTACTGGGATGCACCAAAGTACCTGCTGGGGGTGATATCTCCATTCCTGGTGTCACTTTCTACGTTCGGATTGATGATCCTGATTGGTGATTCCAATATGCTCACCCTCGAGGCTGTATTCGTATCGATAGCTCTGTTCAACATCCTCAAATATCCGTTATCGGTTCTTCCGACCCTATCGTCGACATGGACGTCCACCCGTGCATCCGTGGATAGGATAAACCAATTCCTCAAAGCAGACCAGATTCAACAGCTTCCAAACCTTAAGCAAACCAACCAAACCACAGTACGAACACGGCATATCTCGGAAACATTTGAAGAGGTATTGGTGGCCTGCCAAAGGGCATTCGATCCTTCGATGGTATCCGTTAAAAATCTGACCCTGCATCACGAAGGGTCTATAATTTTGGAGAAAGTAGATTTGCAAGTTATAGACGGATCATTCGTCGCAATTACGGGTCCAGTTGGATGTGGTAAATCTTCGCTGCTAGCAGCGATTCTTGGAGAATTGGGTCACACTGCTGGCGAGGTCAACACAAGGGGATATATAGCATACGTTTCACAAGAACCTTGGATCCTGCATCGCTCAATCAAAGATAACGTTCTGTTCGGTAAGCCACTGGATCAAGCGTTTTACGAAAAAGTCATTCAGGCTTGTGCTTTGCGTTCAGATTTGGAAACATTTCCAAATGGAGATGAAACAATTATAGGGGAGAAGGGAGCGACTGTATCCGGAGGACAGAAACAGAGAATTGCTCTGGCAAGGGCTATTTACCAGAATGCTGATCTGTACCTACTGGATGATCCTCTTAGCTCTGTCGACGGAGAAGTGTCCGATTACATTTACTCAAAGGTGTTCGATAGAGAAGGATTGCTTAGTAAAAAGACTGTCGTAATGATTACTCAAGATCATGGTCATTTTAAGCATGCAGACTGCATCGTAGAGATGGCGAAAGGTCGAATCACTGAACGCCACACATTTGAATCTTTCAAAGCTATGCATCCTGATGTGGAAAATGCCAAAAGAAATGGCACGAGGATCGATGATTGCATCAGTGCGCATGGCATAGATAACCCTCAACCAGCACAAGCACCAATCTCAAGAGATACTACACACAAAGTCTCGCCCAAAGTGTATCTGAAGTACCTAATTATGCTGGGAGCGATTCCCATAGCATTGATCTTGATATGTAACATTTCCATACCAATCTGTGATATTTACTCAACCATTTGGCTGGCAAAATGGTCTCTCATCAATCACCAATCCGCCACTTTCGAAGATCACAACTACCTTGTAGGGTATTCATTGTTTATCTTAGTTTTGATCGCTCTTCTGTGCCTCAACAATGCCGTGATCACGCTCAAGGGAATTTCAGTTGCCAGACAAGTTCACAATAAACTTTTGCACAACACTATCCACCAGCAGATGATCTTTTTCGACAACAAAAGCTCCGGCCAAATCATGAACCGCTTCTCCAGTGACCTTGATGTCGTTGATTCTCGAATATCACTTCACATCCGAGATTTCCTCGCAAATTTCACCGGCGTCATTTCCATACTGATTCTGTTCTGTTTCAACACCTCCTTCTACATTGCGATCGTTCTGGCCGTGATCGTTATCGCGTACTATACCCTACTGTTCTACCACCTAGAAACATCCCGCCACCTGAAGCGCATGGAAGCTCGCAGCAAAGCACCGATCATACTCCACTTCAACGAGTCACGCGAAGGTCGCTCGACGATCCGCGCCTTTCGTCGAGAGGATCAGTTCTTCAGAGAATTTCTTACGATCCTCGATCGTCATCAGCACTACTCGTACCTGTATCTGGCTTCCAGCAGGTGGCTGGGTATCCGGTTGGAGATCATCGGTGCGATCGTCATCTACTTTGTAACGATGCTAGCCGTTCACAACCAGGACACGATCGGTGCATCCAGTGTGGGTGTCAGCATAAGCTATGCACTACGATTGATCCCATTGCTAAACGCTTTGATCCGGATGACAGCCTTGCTGGAGGAAAATGCAACTTCTTTGGAGAGGATCGATAACTATTTGAGCGAAAAGAATGAGCTGTCAATCGTGCAAAATCAGAATCACCATTCACAAGGATGGCCAAATCAGGGAAAGATCACATTTGATGGTTTCAGTATGGAGTATGGCGAGCACATTGTTGCATTGAAGGATATAACACTTACAATTAATGAACAGGAGAAGATCGGGATCATTGGCAGGACAGGAGCTGGGAAATCCAGTCTGATCAGTGCATTATTCCGATTATATCCAACGCACACCAAAGGAATGATCGTGATCGACGGAATCAGCATAGATAACATCTCCATCAGGAAGCTAAGACGTAGTCTTACGATCATTCCACAGAGTCCTTTGTTATTTTCCGGAACCATCCGGGAGAATCTAGATCCATGCAAAGAGCAACCCAACGATTCGGAACTTTGGAATGCTTTAGATTCCTGTAACATGAAACAGCTAGTCAGGTCCCTGCCGAATCGACTGGACACGGTGATTGACGAACGAGGAGCAAACCTCTCCGTAGGACAGAAACAACTCCTCTGCTTAGCGAGAGGTATTCTTCGGAAATCGAAGATCGTGATACTGGACGAGGCAACCTCTACAATGGATGCGGAAACGGAGAGAACCATTCAGCAGGTGTTCTTCAGCGCATTTCGAGACTGTACTGTTCTGATGATCGCCCATCGAATAAACACTATTCAACAGGTCGACCGAGTTCTGTGCCTGCGACAAGGTCGGGTGGTGAAGTTTGACGAACGCAATCGCGTTGACGATCAGGATCTGATGGAGCTTTGAAATGTACTTACGAGGTTTAGTGAACTGATGATTTTGCTTATTGGGCGATAGATAAATTTAATTATATTAGTATTTTACACACCCTATGCCATTAATATGAAAACCTACGCTTAATTTGTTATAATCATCATGGCTTTGGGGGTTGTGCGCAGACAAGAATGTACGGTCCGATTATATTCGGTTGCCGACAGTTTTACAAAAATAACTGGCTTTTATGGAAAAAATAACACCTATTTTAAACATAGATGCAACCATTTTTTATCCCTGGAGATTGAAGGTGATAGCCCTAATGTACATCCAACGACCCATTGTAAGAATGCCTGTTCATACACGTACATTCGCAGGTCGTCTTCATATACGATAAGACCCGCATAAACACATCGATACATCAATTGGATACATGTAATGCATTCACACTTCCAGAATAAAAAAAATATATATATATTATGGCACGAATTTAGTATAATTTTTTTTTGTATAAATATGAGCAACAATAAACAAAAATGTAATACGATCTCACCAACTTTTACTGATTCTTTACTTTTCTGCCCAATTTTCGTGCCTATTTGCGAACTTGTTGTCCTTCTCTGCATCTCTTCTGAAAGTCTCCAATGTTATTTCTGACGTGTTCCATTATCTTTGTATGATGATCTTGAGTTCCTAGTGTCGTTACCGAACCGAGGTTTCCAGCCTCGGTCACGGCTACACGAATCTCGGCTGCTAAGCTTCCACTGCTACTGCTGCTGTTCCTGCTGCTGCTGCTACTACTGCTATTGTTGCTACTGCTGCTGCTGCTCATCCGTCGCTTTCAAAGTTCGTCACAAGAATGCCTTTTGCGAGCTTAGCTAGCCCCTAGGGGCATCCCAGTCTAAACTTTGTATTTCTATCGATATATCTATAGATACCTGGGAATATTTATGTATACTTAAGAAATACTTAAGAAATATCTAGTGATGGGTTGTTTGCTCGGTTGCTATAGTCTATAGACAAATTTCATTTGTTTGTTTATCTGACGTTTGGATTCAAATCTTATCTGATTTTGTGTACATTTAACATATATTATATTATTATTATTTAGCTTTATTTAGGAGGCTTTCAGCCTTAGGCTGGTTCGCCTCCAAACCATATATTATATTGTTACCGAACGGTAACAGTTTTTTGTTGCGTAGAATTTTAAAAAGATAGGAAAAGAAACAGTGTTCAGTTTGCTCAGAAATTTAATGGTCAATGTTTAGTCGATAGCCAGTCATCTATACGTTTCGTGACGGGTTGCGATTGGAATTCCATAATGTAGAGGGCTACGATGGAACAGCGGATAGAGCAAATTGCATAACGAAAGGGAGTTGTTGGGTGGTGGATGAGCTACGATGAAGAGGCGAGAAGGTCAGTGAGTCTATAGCTGTGGAACAGTGTAGATCTGGTGAAATTTGGATAGGATTCAGAGACGTGAGGCACGTTGTTAGAGTGCACTTTAGGAAGGTCGTTAGAGTGCAATTTTGGAAGCGGTGATACTGTACCTTTCGGAGACTGAGATTTCAACCTCTGGGACAGCTAACGTCCGTGGTCTCCCAGGATCTGGGATTTGTCAAGCTTCTCATAATTCCGAAAACTCTCCCTACCTCGCCAACGCCCGGAGACCCGGGAGCAAAAGAGGTCTTTGGTGCCCACCCCAAGAACAGCAGTCAGAAATGTAGTCACGTCCCCTTCAGGAACGGCGCAGAAGCTTCCGGTGTTAAACAGTTGTGAGTTTCAATATTAATAGAATTAACTACACGCCACTGACTGTATTGTTGATCCAGTCTCAAGAGGAAGCTATACTGATGGCCATTGGAACATTTCGACTATTGCTCGATTAAATGTATCGTTCAAAATACAGACCTGAAAATGAGTATCGTGTTATAAGTATAGTTTTCACGGTGGTTTTCACCGAGGTTTTAATCCACTTGGATCTTGATCTTTGGAAAATGACTACGGACATTAAAGCTGATGGGAGCTGAATCGGAACTTTTGGCATCCGGAGAGCCGAGTCTCATAGCTTCCGTAGCGTTATGGGATGCATAAATGAACAACATTCCCATGGATTTCGCCCCATACGATGCCCTTCTACTTGAAGCTCGTAAAGGTCACCAAGTTGGACAAGTTCAAATCGAAAAATCGGTTCAGAACAAAATTTAGAACGGTTATTAACATTGACTATCATAATATTCAATTCACCTGATATTTTTCTTACAGACGCTTACTTGGAACATTTCCATGTTGACATTATGGTCCTACAGGTTTAGTTTGAAGAAAATCTATTATTTCACCCTAAACAAAGAAATAGAGTTGGAACCATTGAGTTGGAAAGCATGCATTAAGTACTCCTCGCAAAAATTAGAGAAAATGTACCCCCCCCCCCCCTTCCCATTCGTCACGTTGTTCCAAAACCTAATGTTAAATTTGTAGTAGTCTTGAGAATAAACAGTTTCATTGTGTTCAGTTTTTATTTCATAATCTATACAGTCAACAACAACATACATTCTTCCACAAATATGGAACAGTTCCATATGATGAACACACTAGACTGACTGTACAGTAATTAAATGTTTTCTAATTGTAGGGGACTGTGCACATTTAAGGCTTTTTGGTTCCACAATCGTCTTCTAGGATCCTGATGTTGGAGATAACGGATCAACAAGACTTGGTGTCCTTTATTTTCACATTTTAGATCACTGAAAAACATACATTTTGTTATATCCTTTCGTAGGCAGATTTGAAATACGTACCTCTTACAATGAATGCACACTTCATTTCAAATAAACTCATTATATACTCTAAAAAATTATCATATCACGCGAAAAAAAATATCGAAATGATGGAGCGGAAAGCAAAAAACACAGCACTAACAACCGGTCATAAAACAAATGTTACTACGATAAAAATAAAACCTAGAATTAAAATACTTTAAAATACTTAGCAATACTTACGAGATATTTAAAAATATTTAATTAATATTGGACCTAAAGTTTAGAGTGGGATGCCCCTAGGGTAGCCCATATTTATACCCAAAGAATGTTCCCTCTTTTACACAGTACTGCTAGCTGTCTCGGGATTAGTCATCACAAAGCAAAGATTGTTAGATTTTATTCACATCACGCTAATTTGGGTTTACTCAAATTAAGCGTTTCATTACATGACTTAATTTTCATTTTTTTTTAATCATTGTTATTTCACACCAACTCTATCCACCACACCTAGTTGAAACCATAACATCAGTGAGGAAAATAGATAATGCTCATCTCTGGGTATTTTCTTAACGAGTATCACTCCATTGTCGTATCGCATGTGCTCCATTTTGCTGCTCTTATTTCACTTTTACCATGTGGAATCCATGGTACCGGAAAATTTATAGATATATACATTATTAGCAATGCTGTGATAAAACCACAACGGCCATTCAAAATGGTTCAACGGATGTGAAATGAGGGAACATTTAAATTTAACACGATTTAAAGTATTGCAATGTAACAATTTTTCGATTAAAAATTAACACATTTTTCAATATGTTATCTCAACTAATTTCTGGAAGCAGTTTCTTTTTTTTCTCTCTGTTTGGAACATAATACCACTGCTAACAGAAATTTGATCAATTGTACATTGACAGCTCATCATCATTTGTTATTAAACAAAGGTATAGTCGATAGCTACACGCTGATGTTTTTTTTCGGTATACGGCGGTGTAGCACCGGTGTAGCTACACCGCAAAAATGAAAACGACATGAGACACACTCTGGCAGCACTTGGAGTCAATAACTGCACTTTTACATTCGCGAAAACACATTTTTTGCCTGCTTTCATATGCTGGGAGGCATCGCGCTACAGAAAAAAAACACGACAGCACACGCGGCAACACACTGCTACGGACGGAACTCGGTTATATTATGACACGGTTCTACTCGGCACATGGTCACTATCACTTCACTTCTCTTATTAGGAAAATATTTGGCTGCCGTTAATAAACATTACTCAATTACATATAAATTGTCGAAATAAGCGAAATAAACTGACAGCGAAAAAAATAAAATTTTCTACTTGCACCCAGAGCCTTCTTGGTTTTTTCTGTCAGTCAAAATTAGATTCTTTAGCCACAAAAATAAGCAATGACGTCGATAATGACTATGCATCAGAATCCTGTTAACCACTTCACACTAGGGAACAACGAATAGAAATCACATAGATGAAGACTTACTAACTCATTTTTTTTCCATGTCTCAATTTCATCCTGGTGGACCGCCGAGTATTTCCACTATCTACAAAGCATAAAAAGTAACAAGGACTAAGATGCGTTCCTTTGATTACTGAAAAATCCTGCTCCCCTAAATTGAAGCAGTCAGGACAAGGATTGGGTACATAAGGTAACGTATCACGAAAAGATGATCTACTCACGTTACGGGACAAGCATTTACTTCTGTTCAATATAAATAGTATCAATGTTCCGATACATCGTATCTTCAAGTGATCTCGCAAGCACCGAAATATGAAACGCAGCTTTTAAAGTGAAGTTAACATAACAATGTGCAGTGTCATCACTTACTCACACATAAAATCTGCCTCGAGCAAGCTTCACATCAATAACTCAACTTTTGCAGATGAGCAGTTTGGATTTCACCATGGGCTGAAGACTGCTTTTCTAGACATAGATTGTATTGATTGTAATTGTATGTCGAGTGACAGAGGCGTGCTGGAGAAGTTAGGAGAGACTAACCGGAAACCATCGAAAGTCATGTTGCCTGGAGGTTGGGTTCGAGCACGCTCTAGGAATGGCGTGGTTGCAAGAAGAAGGTGTTTTCGCATTCTCACTGCAATTCTCGAGAAAGAGAAATACTACGAGTGGTCATGAGCATATATGATCCACTAGGGCTAGTGGCTTCGTTCGTAGTCCACGGGAAGATCCTTACCCAGGATGGTTCGCCAAACATCACATGACGCTGACTGGGACGACCAGATTCCGGAAGAGATCGCAAAGCGTTGGATGTAATGGCTTGTAGTACTGAAGGAGATGAATGGATTACGGATACCGCGTTTCTATTTCTCGGAATACGATACTGAAAACTACAAATCCCTAGAGCTGCACGTATTCGTAGATGCCAGCGCTCAAACTTTCGCGGCTGTAGGATACTTCCGCATCGTTGACAAAGGACG